TTTTGTTGTCGGTTTATTTTATATCGATTTCTCCTAACTGATAAGAGTAATTTTTCGTGTGGTTGACATATCATAAACAAAATTATCGAATTTTGCATAGTGACAATCCATAAGTAACTATAGAAAGTGCATTAAATACGAAAACAGTCTTTATATAGTGTGATATTTAGTCCCTATTTAGTCAATACTATGCAATGTGATGGTTCCATATTTTTCTAAAAGTAATAAAGATTTGTCAGATGACTATGGCTTCATGATCATTATTTCTTTTTGTCATTTAAAACATGTGGAAAGTATATGATTTCAACAGGACCTAGAATACATTTTTGGATTTATTTGCTGAAATAGTATTTAGCATACTTTACGTCAATTTTGAAAACTTTTTGTTCAAATCCTCTATTGTCTTCTGTGGTATTGTAATGGGTTATTATTTGACTTAAGTTGACTTCGGTGGATCCTTTCAAACTAATCTAATCTTCATTCTCTAACAATTTAAATGTATTTTGCTATCTACTAATTTTGTAAAACTAAGTATTGTAACTCTTTTACTTCCCCAGTCTCCATTTATTCGATTATCATTTTTAATAGTTGATTTAAGAATATATTTAAGTTTGTAGAATTTCCATAAGAGATGTATTTTGATTAAAATCCAATTTACACATACCACATTTTACCAAATATAATTTTTAAAAGACCTGAAATTCCAGAATAACTTCTAATAAAATAGAACGAAATTGAGACAATAGCGTTTAAATAGTTAAACGTTGTTGGAATACTATAATAAACCAAAACAATATATGAACGTCCAAATGGCGCCAAATATAATTAAAAATGATTAGAGTCAATAAGAAGATTTTTAGATATACTTCAGAAAATTTTTTCTCTATTGAAGAAAAAACTACCAAGTATACCGAAAAAAATTGTTGAGTTACTAACATTTCTTAATGTCAAAAAAAAATTTAAGATAATACATTAATTCTCTGATCTTACAAAAGAAAAATGAATATATTATATTATGCCAAATAATATTTTCCTTTGAAAGATAATTCGGATAAATTAATTTATTTGAATTAAGCAATTAACAATTATTCGTAGATCATGTTTAATTAAACAATTTCTTAAAGGACTGAACTTCTATGCCTCTACGAAGACATTGATTGACAAATCTCCATATGCTCTTAAATTCCATTATTTTGTGCTGTAACTATTATATTAAAATATAAATAAAATAATTTCGTTCTAATTTTTTAATGTAAACATAAATTAATAACAATTTATTGAATCATTCACATATTGTCTAATGAAAACTTAAGTCTTCAACTAATTTTGACTAAACAAATTTTTTTTTTTACACGAAAACAATATTTTACGTAATATTTTTTCCTTTAAGTTTTCAATTTTGACTGAATTCCACTACAAATTATCCTTTAAATGCCGGTAAGATATTAAGAATTCTTAACAAATTTAAAATTTCACTCAAAATAGAAATATTTAGAATATCTTTGAAAAAAAAAAGTATCTTAAATATTTTTTTTGTGAAAATAAAATAAAATTTTATGTCCAAAAACAATTATCAAATGCGGCGCAATAACAAATAATTTGGTGAAACTGCCTAAAACTGATGAAAATAAAACAACAACAAATACAATCATAAAAGCAACTACAACAACAACAATAACAACAACAACAGCAATAATAATTCAACAAAATCCATGCACAAATAGAGAACAACGTAGCAAAGCAAAATAGCAAATAAAAATCCAAAACCAAAACACTTTTCCAACCAAACAAACGCAAAGAGTAAATGCAAAACGAAATAAAAACAAAAAGCAAAAAACAAAAAGCAAAAAACGAAAAACAAAAAACACCTTACAAGCAGTAAGAATGAAAATTATATTATTTAAGATTAATGTCAACTCGCTCACACTCGCCAACATAAATCAATATGTGAATCATGCCATTTCTTTCATCCAACAACTCAGCAATCCAACAACAACCACTAGGGGTAGTTTTTCCAAGCAACGTTCTGCATGACACATATGTATGAAGCCGAAAATAAAGCAAAAGCGTAGTTGTGTGATAGAGCGCAGTTCGCTGGAAAACTGAAGTTCGCAAGTGCACGAAATCGTATTAAATCACCAAAGGCGAAGACATGTTCGACTGTGTTCGATGTTCGACGCAATGTTTCAATTGGTCGGTTCGAACGTTCGTACAAACTCGTCGGTTGATTCGTTTTTTGCTGATTTTCGGTTGGATTTTTAGTTGGTTTTCTTCGTCCGCTTTGGCCATCCTTTTTCAGTGTGAAATTGAGTTTTGTGTAGTTAAGTCAGAATTTTCGTAAAATTCTTGTGTACTGTCGTGAGACATTTTAAATAATTATTAAAGCAGTTAAACCAAAAATCCAATACAAAATTTAAATTAATAAAAATTTATTAAACAAATTGATTTGAAAATATTTAATGCAGAAATAAATTAGAAATCAATAATTAATTTGTTTGTTAACGCGTTTGTTTTGTTGTGTTGTTAGTTTTGTTGTCTGATAAGAATTTTAATTGGCAAACTTGTGTTTTTAAATATTTCTCATATGAATATATCTCATCGGTGAATTGGTAAACATTTGTGCAAAATTCGGTTTAATTATTTGAGAATTGGAAACTTGAGTACGCGTTTTATGTTCTTTTCCCGGAAAAAGTTCTGGACCCAAGTAAACATACACGCAAAGTAAATAAATCGCAACAATCTGCTTAGATAAATTAATTGTATAAACAAATCCGAATCAAATCTTGTTGTGCGCCGTGAACGACAAGCAACTTTTGTGTGAGTGGCAAATTTCCTCCAAAATTTTTGCTTCGCCTTCAATAATCCAAAATTCAATTTTCCATACTAAAATCAGATTTTTACAATTTAAAATTTTACAATTTAATTTTAAACTCAGTGCTTTTTTTGATCAGATTTTTTTCTTTTTTCTTCTTTCATTTTGGCAAAATCATGAGATCATATTGAGTTCAAATTTATTATCATTTCTTTCCACAGAACGTTTAATTTTGCTTTTGTTTATTAAATTTTATCGGAAAAGAAAATAAAAATCTTCAATTCAGCAGAAAGAAATTATTTCACACCTGAATTACTACACTTTTAATACTCGAATCATATATGGACGTCTAAAAATTATTTCAAAAGCAAATAAATATAAAACATTATAATAAATAAAAATTAAAACTAAAACAAAAATTCAGTTATTTACTACAATTCAAAAAGTCTTAAATTTTTTTTAATTTAAAATATAATATATGAAATCTTAAATTATAAATATATAAAGTCTTCAATTAGTAAAATAATTTCCTTTTCTCATAATTGACTTGAAAATTAAATTAATTATAGGATGAATTTAATTCATTTAAAATATGTGTTGAACAACAAATTAATAAAATCTTAAAGACTAAGTAGTTTTTAAAGTAATTAGATTTTGAGAAGAATTATTTTAAAAATATTACATTTTTTTAAAACATTGTATTTTTGAATATTCACTTATGACTTTTTACTATAATAAATGTATTAATATTTATATAAATATATATATTTAAAATAACGTATGAAATAACTAAATCTTATAAAATAAAATAATTAAATATTATGCATATTATGCAAATATTATTACATTATATACTAATAAAAAAAATATCTTATATCTATTTGTCAACACATTTAATTATATTGCAAGTATAAATTTTAATTACCAAACGAAAATATTCTTCTGCCTTATTTCTATTAGCGCTGTCATATTAAATATTAACCTTTAGTTGAAGTTAAAATACATTATTTAAGAAAAATTTATTACTTTAATTAATGCTATATAAAATTATAATATTAATGCAATATCACACATTATGTTACATTTCTGCAGAGTAACACTAACCTATATCTATTTCACTTGACAATTTTATCTATTAATTTAAAATATAATTTATAAAATTATGGTGTGTCATTTTAATTTGTACATTATTTTTTTTATTATTTTCTATCAATTTGTATTATTTCTATGTTTATCCTACATTGCCTAGTATATTCTACATCATGTTATAGTTTTTTTCTTAGGTATATAAGATACATAAAAGTATATAATATTTTATATTAAATTATTATTTGAAATTATTATTTTTTTTAACTGCTCTATTTACTAAGCTTTTTAATGTTTAAGTGATAGGTTATATTGAAATTCAAATAGGTTTGAAGGCTTTATTGAATACATAAATATTTTTATTTTTTTTAAATTTTTATATTAATACACCTTATTAAATATACTGAAATGATTAAAGCTTAGTTATCTATATGTGTATACAGAAAAATTAATTAGAAGTTTAGGAAAATAAAATACTCAACAAATTATTTTTTAAAGATTTCTATACTAAATAAATTTTTATTTATATATATGTATATGTATTAAATAATATAATATATATTATTTAAAATTTTTAATGGTAGTTTATGTACTTTAAGTATATTAACCTTTATTCGTTTAGTCGTTTCTGAACATAATTATTATATAACACTTTTTATTATTGTATAATATATAAAATATTTTAAATTACGAAAAACACTACAATCCAGTTAATTTTTTATGATTGGTTTTAGTTCTTTTTATTTTTTTTTTTTTTTGAAACTTTGTATAAAAATTTCGAGAGCGAAGCAAAAATTTATACATTTTTAATTGTTTAAAGTGAAACAAAATTTAAAAATTTATTTTCGATTATGTTTCGAATTTTAGCAAAACTTTTCAAACAAATTAATAAATCAAAATTTTTATAAAAAATAACTTACATGCAAATAAAAATACAAACTAAAACGTTTACCCCAAAAGTAAAATTCCAAAAAACCTTTTAAATTTGTGCAGCAAATCAAAAGTTTATAAACAAAATAAAAATAAAAAAGTTTATTAAAAACATTAAACAATTTGGTGTTGTGCAAACCAAATATTAAACAAAAAAAAAAAACAAGTAAAAAAAAAATTAGAAAAAAAAACTCAAACAGATTTGATAATTGTTTTCTGCTAAGGCCTACGTCATTCAGAAAATCGTTCCATATGGTTCATATTATTGAATTGGTCGGCCAGCCGAAGGTTGACTTTGCTCAACAAGTTACTGTGAGTATTGCTGACTTTAACTATTAAATTTGTGTATGAAAATGTATCTATGAAAATATTGTAGATGAAATTCGCTACTTTTAAGTGGCGAAAAATGTGCGCCAAACACAGAAAAAACAAATGCAAAAACGGCAAATGGGGAAAAAAGTTGAAATAAAATAATAATAAATCTTGCGTTGTAGTCACGTAATGACAACATAATATGTGACTTTTCCTACCAGAACGGAGCTCGGTCCCCACCCTGCGCCGCTGCTAATAAAAGCCCATATAACGCACTTTTATTGCCAGTTGCGTAGCCTACATTTTCCGAGCGTATTTTTCCTCAATTAATCATCCTTTTTTCTTCCATACTTCGGGTAAATTGTTCTGGTAGTAGGAAAAATTAAGTTGTTCTGGGTTAATATTACAAGGAAATCAGAGTGTTTAGCGTTTAATAAATTGAAAAGCATTACTTTTGAATATTTTTGTAAATAAACAGAACTTATGTAAACACATTATTTGTCTGTTATTCATATAAAAATAGAACTTAATATTTATATGAGCTTTTTTTTTATTAAACATTTCATTTGTTAGTTCGAAATATTTAAAAAAAAACTCATGTCGATTTATTATGGAAAAAGCATTTGTTTAGGACTTTTAGAATTAAGAAGAATATAATTTTGGCTATTAATTTTCAATTAGTTTTTGAGATATGGTGATTATATTAATATATTAAAAAAATTTTAAACATATATTAATTAGGCGAAATATTGTTATAAAAGTTGAAATTCAATTCAATGGCAAATTATTATTAAAATTTTAACATTAATTGTTATTTTTATATACATATATCTAACTATTCGGCACAATATTAGATATATCTAAAAATAAATTTCGTTTTTTTTTTTTATTCGATCCTTCAAGGATGAATTTTCAACTTAATAAATATTAAACATACTGAATATCGTTATTTATATCAATAACTTAAAAAATTAATTCAAAAAAACCAAAACTTGATTTTGAATAAATATATTTATTTTATAAATTCGTAAAGTATGGAAATGCGAGGTTAAAAAATATATATGGAGGGGTTTTAATAAGTTTTTCTTAACGAATGACACTTAAAAAAACTATTTTTGTTTATATTTTTAAATTTTGACTCAACACTTTATATTAAAATATAAATATTAATAATTAAAAATAGATTCATTCCATTTAAAAACAATTATTTAAAATTTTTCACAAGAATAATTATTAATTAAAGCCCTTGTGATTTGAAATGTATTATTTAATAAAAATTCAATTTAATGTATTTGAAGTCCAATTCTTTAATACATTTACATATAAAGAAAATTGCATATATTCAATTTACTTATTTTCAAAGGCATCTGGTATTATACATTAAGACCGAAAAGTTTTCGGAAATTCTCATTTAAAATTCGCGCGCTGTATATTTTTCGATATTTTAAGTTTATGTAGTTTGGCAGCACTGTCCTTAATTACTATGCCAAAAATGAGCGCGATCTGTCAGACAGTTCGTTTACGGCAGCTGTTGAAACCAGTTCCCCTCAGTAGTGCGTTGCGAAAAAAACAATGGAAAAAAATATTGAACAAAGAGTTTGCATCAAATTTTGTGTTTCGAACGAAATTTCGTGTGCAGAATCGTTGCGAATGCTACAAAAGGCTTATGGGGAATCAGTTTTATCGAAAACTCAAGTTTATGAGTGGTACAAAGCCTTTCAGTACGGTCGTACGACCGTCGAAGACATTTCGCAACGCACTACTGAGGTGAACTGGTTTCAACAGCTGCCGTAAACGAACTGTCTGACAGATCGCGCTCATTTTTGGCATAGTAATTAAGGACAGTGCTGCCAAACTACATAAACTTAAAATATCGAAAAATATACAGCGCGCGAATTTTAAATGAGAATTTCCGAAAACTTTTCAGTCTTAATGTATATTTAATAATTAATGTTCATAAGCTCAAAGAATTTCTTAAAAAATAACAGACTTGAATCCATTTAAAGATTGTTAATTTTTCAAATTTTTAAAAATTCGAAATTAAATTAATCTAAAAATTATTTTTTGAATTGTTGTGGAATAAATAAATGGTATAATATATTAATTTAAAAGTTTATTTAATATAATTTAAGTTTAATTTACATTAATTTGATATTAATTAATGTAGCACATAATAATATGATTCAGGTGTAATATTCTTAAGTGGTAATATTGAAAGCAAGAGTTTTTTATATTAAAGATATTACAAAATATTTTTTATCATATTCATATTCAGTATAATTGAAATTGAACTGAGATCATAAAAACTTCTTTAAATATTTTTGCAAAGTTTCATCTACGTCACTATTTATTTTATTGAAGTTGTTTCAGTTATACAATCCTCATTAATTTATTTGGCCATAATAATCCATTATCGATTGTGTGTATACATTTTTCACTCTAATAAAGTTCGATAAGTTCGATAAATATGTCCTTAATTTAATCACTCCACGGCAGAAACAGTTCAATTCTCCGTCTTCTTCCATAAACTATTGCTTCAAATCCTTTTCTAGCGGGAATATCATCATTTAGGTAAGTGATATGAGCAAAACAGCAAAGCCGTTTACTGATTTATGTGGAAATCAGTGACTTCACACTCGAAAAAAAAATTATTTTTTCCACATTAGGTGAAAAGGTCTCTCTTATATTTATAACGGACAATGTTCGTTCATGACCGTCATTCTAATCAGTTTAATGCCATTGTTCTTGCAAGATAAAACTAAAATGGCTTTAAATAGACTTTTCGTTATGAGTAAATATAAGTTAATGTTTTTTTTTTTTGAATAGACTTAAATAGACTTTGTGCAAACTCTTAGAAAATATATGAACTTAAATCTGTCAGATTAGTACTTCCATAAATGAGAAACATGTTCCAATCAAAACTAATTGATTAAATTAAAACCATAACTCAACCATATCAAGTGAGAATAGTTGATCTATCATGCAGTTAGAGATTGTATGTAATTATTTATATTGCTGTTGAAATGGTATTGATATGGATATCGTAGGGAACTGCAAGAACTATTACTTTAACTGTTACTTTAGGCTTACTAAATATAATGAAATTTTGTGTTTGAACTAGTACTGGTCTACCCCAGAAGTTTGGGTTATTTTATATCAATGTCAATATTTTTTTGTTATACAATAATTTCGGATGTCACACGTTATGTATTCTTGATAATTGCTAGTATATATGACCCCCACTTTATACCGGTACCATAAAATCTACAATTTAAGGATATTATTTGATTTATCAGTTATTGGTAACGTCGTCATCTATTAAGCTTTGGTATCTTCTTTTCTTCTTAGTGTACGTTTCGCTTAGTCGGGCATAGGGCCGTAACAATTCTGTTAAATCGCACTCTATAAGGAATATCTCTGCATATATCGTTTGATATGTACTGCACTTCTGTCATTTCTCTTTCAAGCTTTGGTATATATCTTCTACATATTGATATTCAGTTATAGTTCTGTGTTAGGAAGCGCTATCATATATTAACATCAACTTTCTAACAAATGTAACTTACGTCATATCAAAAAGCACAACTAAACTACTGTAAATAAATAATGTATTTCCAATAAATCCCAAATATTATATTGTAGTATATTCTCTACTTTTACAGAATATCTCTTCTGTGATTAGTAATATATACCATTTGCTTAATATCTATGGTTTGTATAGATTGTTAATGAATAATCATAATAAAATATATAATTTTTTGGATTATTTTGGTTCTATTCCAGATTAAATAAAGGAGTTATCTATTTCTTTATAATGTTTCCGTACAGTAATGACACATATACCTTTTTATATGAGTAGGTTTAACACCAGGTGTAAGTCACCGGATTTGGTGATCAGAATTATTATTTATAGTACTGTTTGGCACTCAAATTGGAATCAAATATTTTATTACATATATATAGACAATGTCAATAAAATGACTCGACTATAAATGTAATATATCCTTGTCGCAGTAATTCTGTTTCTGGTATTTCCGAGAACTACACACATATTCCATTTCAACTCAGGTGTTTTTGGAACAACCGGAAAGTGTGACGTTAATTTTTCCATTTGTTTAATTATAATTTTTGTTACACTTTAAACGCAAAACAGAAACACATTTTGGAATTTAATGCAATCGATGAAATACTTGATTGATCCAAAACAAAAAAAATACAAAAAAAAAATAAAACAGAAACCTTAAAGCTCTTTTGCTCCGCTTTCTGATATGAATTTTTGTGCACATATTTTCAATTCATTTCGTTCGTATTTATTTATTCTATTCTTTCGCACATGCTGCTTCTTATCTCAATTTGTGTGCCAATATTGCCACCCTCCGCTCGTGTGGCGGTATGTGTTTGTGGATGAGTGTTTGTGTATGTGCGTATATGTGCGCTGTGTGCTCTTACAAATAATAGAACATTTTTACTTTTGGTTTTTTTGGTTTTTTCTTTCCAGATTATCTGAGCATTGCGTAAATTTCATTTATTTTTTTTTCTATGCTTTTTTGGATTTTGTTTTTTGTTTTTGTTTTTGTTTTTGTTTTTGTTTTTAAGTTTCGTTGTTAACATTGTTGCTGCTACGTGGTGCGTGAGTGCATGCGTGCGTGCGTGCGTTAGTCCGTCGTGTATTTTGTTTTTATTGTCCTTTGTGTTTTTCTAGGGGATGTTCTCTAATGATGACACATTCCTCTTGTTATTCCACTCAGTTCACAAGTTCCTTTTTCCTTTTTTCTATTTTCTATGTTTTTGTTTTTTTTTTATTTTGAACACTGTGTACTATTTTTTTCTATTTACATTTTTCTGTTAGAATTTTCGGTTTCGGTTTCGATTTTTATTTTTAAGTTATTTAATATTAAAGTGGAGCAAACTCGTTGACATACTTTTCTCGTCTTTTATTTTCCTTTTTTTAATAAAAGTAAATAACCTTTTAAAATACCCTTTTTTACGTTGATATCCTT